CCCCCGGCGAGCCCAGCCGGGAATCTCTGGGTGCTGCGTGCCTGGCACTGGAGCCTCTGCTGCTCTCAGAGGCTGTGGGTGCGTGGCAGAGGGTGCCCAAAACAGGGGCCCAGGGACATGTGTAGGGACCCTGATTCCCCCAGAGCGTGGTGGGACCTGCCTGGATTCACGGGGCTTCCAGATGGAAACATCCCTCAGGACCCCTTGGCTTCTTCTAACACAGCCGTGGCCTCACTCACTGGCTCCTGCTGTAGGAGCAACATTTTGGTTCAGCCATAGGCTCAGCTTCTCCTGATGTCTCCAGGGCCACCAGGAGATGGACGGGGTGATGGCAGCATGATGGCCATGCCATGACCCCAGGATTTTTCACCTTGCCTCCAAAGACAAGCCAAGGCAGGTCCTTGCTGCTCCTCACACCTGGCAGAGGTGGGAAGGTGATGTCGAAATATTTGGGGTCTCTGGGGACTGGTGCAATACAGGTGGCTCCTGCCACAGCCTCTTCCTCTGCAGTGACCCAGTGATGACGACTGGAGGAGGAAAACCAAAAAGGAGAGGTTTGGGGCAGATAACCTCTGTTCTGGTTTGTTTGAGATCTTGAAAGCAATTAAATAATCACTATTCCTGCCCTCCTTTCCATCACTTCTCCAAGAGACAATAGAAAGCAGGAAATTAAGAGTGACTGGGAACAAAGAGCCCGGTGCTGAGGCTGCTGATTGTGGCGGGAGGTTCTGGTTTGCACTTCACCATCCACCTCCCAAGGCAGATCTAAAGACATCAGGTGCTGGAGCACGAGGGAGAGTCATTATCAGCCTCATAAATCTTTAGGAGGCAGGAAAAAACTCCTTCTGGTAGAGATGATGTGGAAATTAATATCCCAGTAACTGTGAGAGGAGGGAAGTTGCGGCTGGAGATGGTTTGGCCAATGTGAGTGGGGGATTGGATCTCTGTGGGTGTTCCCTTTGGGGTTTCCCAAGGAATGTCAATCCCTGGGATGCTGTTCCAGGCAGGGTTGGCTGCACGTGCCCCCAGGACCATCGTTGTGCAGGAGGGAGCACTGTGTGCCAGCGTGGCACAGGAGAGAGGTTTGATGCCCTGTGACCTTTTCACAGTTGTTTTATCCTCTCTTGGCTGGTTCCTGTGCCCAGGAGGGATGCCCTGGCTGTGCCCTTCCCTCGGCAGTGGGAAGAGCATGGTACAGCCTTCCCTGTGTGCATTTCCTGTGCTGCCTCCTTGGATTTCTCCCGTGAGTAGGTGACGCTGCCACATCCCTTCCCTGGGTCCCTTGGGCACCAAGCCACAGCAGGTCATCAAACGCCCCTCCCCACCTCCTTGCCCTGGCACTGAGACCACCCCAGGCTGGCAGTGGCTTCTCCCAGCCCCCAGTGTGGTCCTGAGCATCATCCTCCCCCTGTGCCAGGGGATGGAGTGGCAGGGCAGGGGGAGTGCAGGGACCCCGGGGTGCTTCCAGCTGGCTGGGGCTGCCAGCAGAGCATCAGGGCTCCAGCCACCCCCAGCCCTTCCCTTCCACCTCCGTGGGAAGCTGGGGCCGGGGAGCTGGGAGAAGCCAGCCAGCAATCTCACTTGGCTAAACCCAGATCTGATCTTCATTAAAACCCCCATAAAACTAATGAAATGATGGCCCGGTGTGTATTGAGGAGCTGATCGGAGCTGACATCCATCCAGGAGGAGGGCAGCAGCAGCTGGCTGAGTTGAGAATCTGTCCTTGAGCCTTTTGAAGACATATTTTTTTATCCTGTTTAGATTTAGGGTTGAATTAAAGCCCAGTGCAGAGTCTGATCTGTGTCTCTGGGTGGTCCCTGGTTCGGCGAGACGCTGTACCCCAGCAGCTGGTTTGGTGCTGGCAGATAAACTCCTCTTTGTCCTTTTGCCTGGGAAGCATCCACTGCGTTGAAAAGCAATTTACTGGCAGGGCTGGAGAGAGGAGAAAGGCACGGCCCCTTCCCACACGGCCGAAATAACCCCTGGGAGAGGGGCATGGCGCTTACGTGACCACAGAGAAGTTTTTAAAGTCCTTCCAAGTTTTCTGCCATCTATTCCCAGAGGTTCTGCAAGAGTCCCAGTGGAAAACAGCACTCTCGACCCCTGTCCTGGAAATGAGTGTTGTAAGGAGCCGGGTTTGGATGCCAATGGAGGGGTAGGGTGAGCCGGCCTTTCTCCCAGATCCGTGGAGGGCAGGCAGTGACATCTCCAGCATTCTGCAGGAAGGAGGGATTCTGTGTTGGACTGGAGCTCTCTGGGCTGGGCTGTGAGATGGTGGAGGGGAACTGGGGGGCAGCTGCTGTTCCATAGCAGTCGGGAGGGGAAGGATTTGCTCCTGAGCGCAGCCAACCTGAGGATCCCCGAGGTTCATCACCTCCTGAAGATGCTCATCTCTCTCTGGAGAGCTGGCCCCAAGCAGCTCTGCCTCTGCCGTGCCCAACCCCACTCCTGCCCTCAGAGGGCCCCTGCTGTCCCCACGGCCATGGGGGACAGGGCCAGCACAGGCAGGGATGACCGTGGTGTTCCTCTCTCCTGGGTCCTT